CAATTAAATTTATCCATAATTCATTCACAATTTAAGACAAGGTGAATTAAAAACAGTACGTTTACAATTAACCTCTTGAGAATAATGCAGAATATTGTTTGATGAAAAAACGTGACGACGTACATGTAATAGGCTCTTGTTACAGAAGAGCGGAAGGAATATCGAGAATGATTTACCGGACAACTAATCCGTGACTTATCAGGGTAAGACGGAATTGCTCGGTATGTAATATCGGCATATAATATTATGATTATGTATCCTACACAATAGATCGATTATCCATCCTTTCCGATATCCTTGTAATATTCGAATATTGCTAACATATTTATTGCCATGTCAGATGAATCGCGATATAGCTATAATAATTATTTCTGACAGAATGTTGCAGTTTGATTCTCGACGGTATAATCTCTTTAGCGATAATTCCCGAACATCGATAATTGTTTCTCAATCGCGTCACTTTTCTTCCGTTTTCGAATGTCATTCTCGTGGGAAAAGAAATTTCCCAAATAAGATAGAATATTCTTCCGGAATCCTGTCGACGCGCAGAATTAGCGAATCGATCTGGTCGGCCGATCGGTATGTTTATACTACTGAAAACGAAATTTCGCGAAACTCTCAAATGAAATTCGCGCAAACGGCGGAGAGAGTTCGTGTGCGGGATTGATAAAGATCTTAATTCACGAACGAGCCCGGCAACCTCGTGTAGGATTGATTTCGGAGCCGTCTATGTAGGGGGCTTCGAAGACGGTCATACAAATAGGTCAGGTCACACGCTACTACTGCGAAGAAAAGGGTGACCATCTATTAGACCCCTTCGTGCGATTCGCCATCGCCGTCGCGTTTTGCCCACCGAGACAAAATGTACTTATTTTTGAACCGAGTATTATTAATGGCACGACGTGACAAAGGGAGGTATGTACATGTCAACGCGGGGGCTCGCTTCTTTCAAAGGATTTCAGCCTCCCCTATTCTTGCGCGCTCGGATTAATAAAGCATTAACCGGAATTGCAAAACGAACTTAAATGATACATCGCACGTCGGCTTTAAGCCGACATTTTCCGCGGAGATTTTCTCGTCTCTCATACGATTGTGCGCGTACTGAATGGTTCCCGTCGCTCTGTTTTATACATTATCTATTTACCGATAACGAATAAGATTGATGAGCATTGAATCTACGTCGGAGAAGCTCGAGCTAAGGGTTGCGCGCGGTTTTTCAGCCGAGTGATGAGTAGGCGAGAGGCGAAAATTCGGGCCGTTGCGTCGTGACTAATCTGGAGCGTGGTTTAGAAAAAAAAAAAAAAAATGGAAACGTTATCGCATTTTCCATTTTCCGCTTTCGTTAATACCGCCGCTCACGCGTATGCGGCGACTGTGTGATACGCGGTATCGCGATAAAATAATGTTCCCTCGGAGCGCGCTTTGATCTATAAATGCGGATACGGGATGTCCGCGAACAGAAGAGAGAAATATCACAGAGTCGCATTCATTTTTTAGCTCCTGTCGTCGTGTCGGCGCGCACTTAATCTTCTCGTAATTCTCTAATCGCGTATCGATATATATCGCAATTGCGTACAAACCTAGTCGTTCTTTTGCACGTACTAGATATGTCCTTATATTCAAATTAAAAGTTCAATTTTGTTCCTTTAATTGCAAATTTGACATAATGATCGAAGATACGAGTACCGTTCGGCGACAGGGAATTGTCAATTTAATATATAATTCGAATATCTAGTTGTAAGGATATTTGAAGGAACTCATATTAGAATAAAGCGATAAACTTGAACAAAGTCGCATCTTATAAGCTCGATATATCGGAGATGAAATTCTTATTTATTTTAACTGTATAGTAGTCATATGGTCTTATGAATCATTTATGATCTTCTGCATTTAAATGGAAAGAATATTTTCATGGAATTTATCCGGCGTTAGTTCTTCCGATCATAAACGGTTAGATTACAATTGTGCATATATGTATATATATATATAAACAAATACTCTACATCCACGATGGTTATGAGTATTTGTACATTGAGTGACGGCAAACGTATATATACATGTGCTATGAAATATATTGAGTCGCGGAGACTCATAGCGATGCGAAAATAGTTGGATATGTGAAAATATTTATTCACGAGACGAATGGAAATATGCTTGTTAAGCATGTAAACGAAGCTCTTAATATATAGACGCTACGTAAGCTTATTTGACGTGGGTTCGTCTTCTTTTACAGCACACAGAAAATAAATTAAGATCTGACGTTGACAGCTGAACGGGGCGTTAAGTGTCAATTATGTAATGACTGAATTAATATAAAGACCTTGGAGTAACACAAATTGTATAATGCGCGAACTAAATATTTCAAACGATCAGCCCTAATAATTTAGGGTGAAAAGTATCATCGTGGCATTGCCTTCCTACGCTTCCAATATCCACCGAATTATTTATTAACGGACAGGCTATAACCTGAAGCGCGTTCTTCGGCGATCACGTTCGTCATCGATAACTATTTTTGGATGCATCCCGAACACAGTGAAAATTTAAACCAATCAAGCTCTAAGAGCGTTCGATACAAAATTCCTGCACGAGGGGTTTTTATCGGATTTACGTAGCACACACACATATGTATATGTGTGGATGTAATGCCAATAAAATTTCGCATATTTATCAGGATAACTTCATGTGAAATATTATCTGTTATGGTTGTAGCTCCAGAATTCTATAGATATACGAAGAAATCGAGAAATATTAAGAATACATCATTTTTACGAATTACATGTAAATACATATCATGCATTAAACATTTTTTACCATTGCAATCGATATAACATGCATATTACAAGTCCGACAAACTCGGCAAAAGACTAATCTACACTCATGCAGCTGCATACATTTTTCACGAAATTGCATATTATTGTCAAGTCTCAACATGCATCTTCCGAAAATGTGTACACCGTCTTTTATTCACGCACATTTCCAGATTTTTATACGTCAAGTGAGCGATGGCTCTTTGGTATTTGACTTGACAATCCGCGGAAAAAGTAAATGCACAGAAGAGAGAGCTTTCCATTTAATCTCGTTTCCGTGTGATTCATTTCTTTTGAATGTCAAGCTCGTCTTTTAATAAAATATAAAATAAGTACAATAAAATAATTGAACAATTTCTTTAAATTATAGAGAAAAGAAGGATTAGTGCTTTCTGTTTTTCGCGTCAACATAAAAATTGTACGAAAATTAATACTACAATACGTATTAAAATACGCGATTCGTCTCATAGAAATAACTTCTTTTCTAATGATAATATAAATTATAATGTTCATAAATGTAAATTAATTTCTCAATACAAAATTAATCTAGATGTAATTTCTTAAATTGCAAGAAATTATTGCTTGTATATCACTGAGAAATTATGAATTTATTAATGTTTACCCGCGAGATCTCTTACTGTGCAAGATTTAATTACAGTAAGTATTTAAATTACGAGAATAACATTTTATCTCACGCGGAAGATTTTTCGAAGAGATTAAAGGCTTAAATGTATATAAATATATATATATACATATATGTATACATGCATACATTTATTAGTCTGTCTGTCTGTCTACGTAAAGTTGCAGGGTTTTTATTAAACGTTTTCACACATTTAATCTTACATTTAAAAAACACTTTATCCGTCGACCTGTCGGAAATTTTGCGACTTGTCTGAAGGGTATGTCGTGTCGGAACGAGCTTCCGAAAGTCCGCCGATTCAGTTTGCCTACGGCACTACTGTCACAAAAAGCCTCATCTATCAATTCTACAATTCTACAAACATGCATACAGCGAATAAAACGCTATCGGATAGCATCACAATTATGTCTCTGATTGTTATCTCAACGAAAACTAATGATTGTAAAGTAACAATTAAGAAGTTCGTTAAGAAGAAGTCGCAATAGAATTGTGTTGCTAGAAAAAATTCTCGTCGAGCTGCGTTTCGCGTCGTTTTACTACGAGAGATCCTTAATTGGAACCGATCGAGCATTTATTCATGTTCATTTGAGATTCCGTGGAAACTTCGTTATCACCGCTAAACTTTCCGCACGTTTTGCGTCACGACCACTTCAATCTTGTCTGATTTTTTTATATGAAAGAGAAAGAGAGAGAGAGAGAGAAAGTTATGAAAAATTCGTCTATATTTACATCATTCATTTATTCCAAGCAAGAATCAGCTTCGATATTTCATTGCTTTGAATAAACATATTTCGCATGCAACACAGTTATTAAAAAAAAAAAAAAAAGTACGCATACTTTCTACGATATAACATCCACATTTCCCGACGTGCGAGATATCGAAGCTCGATAAAAAGTGCATTAAACTTTTCTTGTAAATGTTATCGAGAGCAGATTAGACTTTTACGAGATTACAGTGAAATCGCGATAGGATGTTTTTTTTCAAAAGCTTTCAACATATCAGCCAGCGAATCGTAAGCCCCGGAAGAAAGAAAGATAAAAATGATCAGAAGCGGAAGTGGGCGCAAACGTGTCCGTGCAATTATCATCGCGTATTCTTATCATCATCATTCACGCGCAGTGTTTGCTGTCATCTAAATTAAATTAAATCATACAGACAATAAAAATATGTATCATCTACATCTTATTGCAGATAATTCGGTCTAGAGTTATAGCGCACATTTTATATCCTTTTTATAATTTACATTTCTGATAACTTTACATAACTCGTCTTAAAAAATAATATTATCTGAAAATATTCTAGATGAATCATCATACATAATTTTACCTTTATTTAATGATCTGTATATCTTATCCAAGATGAATTTCTATATCTTGATCTTGCGAACTAATTGAAAAATCATCTAAGCGCAACACTGTTCGCGCGAGACGCAGCCGAGAGACAGAGCGCGAGAGAGAACGGTCAAAATATAAGCAGACAGATTAAGACGTGCTAAACAGAGAAGCCATAAAGCTGCAAGCGAGAGTGATAGAGTGTGGAGTTGGTATACCGGCGCGGGACTGACCGTCGTGGAGCGGATCGATCGTGTGGATCATAAGCTGCAGCAGGCCGTGCCGGAACTTGGCGTGGCTCTGAGTCGGGTGTGAGGACGAGCCTCCGCGGGCCTGATCGCATCCTTGTCCGGCCCCGGTGCCGCCGGCGCCGCTGCTGCTGCCGCCTCTGCTGCTGCATCCGGCCTCTCCGGGCGCCGGTATGCCGCTGCTTCCGCACGCACCCGACACGCCGCCCACGCTCGTCTCGCTACTGTTGGTCGCGTTCGGATGCTGCTGAAACACACAGAACACGCCATTTCGGCGCTCAGTGGAAACTCTCGACCATTGTCGCGACGCTTTTACGTCGTCGCGTCGTTTTACTCTGGGGAGATTGGGGGATGGTTTGGAACAAAAAAGAAGGAAAGTTTTCACATTTGTGCAAAGGTCCATTTTCGCTACGAGGGAAAGATAAAATATGCTACTTGCATTGTATCTCCGTGAGGAAACGTAAGGGAGAAAAAATTCGATTGCTTTTTACGTCTTTTGCATCATTGATCGCTTTCTAGCTATCTAGCTTTCTATTCGATCTTTACTTAAATGAGTAATTGTTGATTGTTATATTTTCTTATTATGAGAGATTTAGCTTCTTTTAGATTTATCATTAAAAGCAGAGATTATATGTCCGTTTTTAATTAAAGTCATTATTGTCAAGATAATGGAAATTTCACGAAATATAAGTTTAGTCGTATGTCTGCGCAAAGAAGAGATTCACTGGGATTAAAATTCATAATCGAGAATGGTATCGTGGCCGGATAATTAACACTTTCAGTCCGCGTGGCAACAAACCACACTACTGCGATATTTAAGCATTACGCGGTGCTTTAAAAACCGTATATGCGATAAACATATACATTACATCTTAGTTTTACTTATTTATGAATATTAAGTGTTAATTTAGAAAACAAGTTACATGAAAAAACTTTTCATTCATATCCAGACGTATAATCGAGAGGTGAGAGTATCATTTTTATGAGCTTAAACAAATGAAAGAGTTAATTTCACCTTATTCCCAATGCTGAGATTGTACGGGATTGCATTTTCATTCTCAGTAACGACATTTCGCACGACACCTTTTGTGATACGGGAGAAATGAAAAAAAAAAAAAAAAATATCTTTCTCATTCTGTCCCCAGGGATTCGTCCGAGCGTGCCGTCATGTTCGTGTATATATTCGACATATATATTATATCAGAATAGTTTTTGATAATATCTACGGTCGAACGAATAAAATAATGGCGAGATTGGACCGTGTCATGCCGTTCGTCAGGCTCATGCGATGTTTTCCAATTATTTTTCTCCCCCAGGAACCACGACACCAACTTTTCTGGCGAAATCTCCGATGAAACGACGACATCGAAGTAAATCCGAGGGATAATATTTGATGCGCATTAGTAAATCGCTCCCCGCAATAACTTTCACGGCGCAGTAAAATAATAATGATGTCATTCGGAACGTTATTGTGCCAGTCGCGGCTTGTCATATGTCACAGTTTGTAAACATTCTACAGAATAAACTTTCGTCGCAGGAAAAAAATGCGACATGTTAACTATTTGCTACAACGAGATAACACGCAAGGAATTATATACGATGTGCAATAAACTGTACAAGATATATGGCGAAAAGTATTTTAGGTAATAACTAGAACGGATCTCTTTTTGCTCCGAAATGTGAACGTATGAATTTTGGCATGTGGAATTTCTTATTGGCACTTTTCATCTTGCATTATCGCACATCAAAATTCATTTGAGTTGATAATTCGGGAAAAGGATTTTAGCCTAGCTAAATTAGTTTCATTAATTGGTGAACCTAATATAGCTCGTAGTATCCTATGCAACGAAGATGTTGCGCGAAAATTGTGTTACCCGATAACGATGTTACAGACATGTCCTGTGCCTAGAATATATTGTGTGATTTTGACGCCGCTCTGCGAAATTTCATAATGCATAATCGAATCAGGCGGTCTTGCTATAATCTGAAACATGATAATCCTGTTTGAAAGACTTTATTCAGATATTAAATCTGCGATGGATCTATCCGGCTGTGCGCGACAAAGTGAGAAAAATTGATGAAACGAGGGAGTAACGCTGCACTTTAATAAAGACTCTGAATCGTTCCATCAGCGCGTACGAAGTAAACAGTTATAGCTGTCTTGCTTATATAGTGCATGTGTATGTGTGTGTGCACAGAGAACGTTTTGTATTTTAGTTAACAATTGATATTGTTATCCGCGAGTGAGTTTCTGACGCAGGACGTAGGACGGACGATTTTCCAGTGGGCGAATGCGTGTGTGGGCTTCGCCATCAATAGTGGATACCTGCCGATGATATACAAATGCGGATAGATTCGAAGCGGCAAAGCCGGAGAGAGACCTCGTCGAGCTGCGGCAGCGCAGATACGGCTTTCTGCCGTTGTCAATCTGTTGTCAGGGGTAATGAACTTTCTAATTACCGACGCGGAGGCGCGCCTGCAAAACCCGATTTGAATTTCGAGACGCGGCGGCACGGCGGCCTCCGTAGCCGCAGAAATTATAACAGGATTGCCACAACTCTGCGACAACTTTCCGAGAGATTAGCACTCAAATATTTAAGAGCGGTTACAATTACGCGGTGCGTGTATATATATATATATATATATATATATATATATATTATTATAAATCTTAAATCTTCTATATACGTAACTGCGCGCTGACACTCAAAATTGACAACGCACTGTGCGAATTTTGAGATGGTGAGAGAAATTTACCGCGGGACGAATAATCATGGAGTAATTACGTGACAACATTATATACAGAATATTTTATGCGCGAGATATTCGTATATTACATATTACCATTTTTGCGAGAAATGTGCTCCACGCGGACATTAATAATTCGACATTACTCTGCGGTTAGTGTAATCTGCGTCGAGCGAGTTACATTTGTTGAAACTTATATACAAGTATTTTAATTCAAATATCTGTATTTATATCGAGATATAAATCAATCATAATCCAGTCCATCACTAATTATCACTATTCTAAATGTCATTCAATTCATATGATTACATGAATTTACATCTTTGCAATAAAATTATGTAATTACGAAATACCAACATTCTTGTTCAATGTTAATATTAATTTTTAGTAGCATTCGCATTCTTTTAGATAACTTGGATTTTTCTATATTTAAATGATATACATTTCTCGCGTTGTAATCCTTGTATTTTGTACATCGGATGCATCAAATAGTTCGCAACTCATTAGCATACGTATATGATTATCACTTTGCTAATTGCCAACTTTGCTCATTAATCGTTGGTTTGATTTTTATTTGAAACTTCAGATAAGAGATTATCTACAGCGCGCTACATGAATTATCATTCTTCTCGGAAGTGAAATTAATAAGCGAAAGCATTCGTGCGCGATTGCGGCGCGTTGCTATCTGAAAAATTATTTAATAATCCTATAGGACGGAGCACGCGAAGAACTTTTTTCATGCTCTCGCAATTAGACGTTGCCATTTTTTTCAAGACGAAATTGCACCGTGTCCGACACGCGTAACACTCGCGGCGACAGAATGCGATCATCCCCGTCCGAATTATTCAAGCAAATATCGAGCTTGTTTTGAACAATTGCTATTGCAACTTATTTATACGAAAGCGACTTGAGCGATTCGATAATTCTCACGCTTGAAAAATTAATTTTCTATCGATGGGACGCGATAATGTTTAGTATCCGCGAAACTTCGTTTCGTAATCCGAGATATTTGATTGACGTCATAGTTGGCAGGGAAAGGCCGTACCATCCTCTAAGCGGTAACTTCCTGTCTTGGAGAATTGCACTCAAAGGAAACTCGAGCTCGACTTAAGCATTTCATCGGGCTTGAGAAAAGATTTGTCGATTTTGAAAACTTTCCACGTGTAGGTCGTCGATTCGCTTACATTTTTCATCAATTCTAGAACTCCGTGTGTGTGACTCGCGTTACGGCGATAACTTGCTTTTCTCCGCTGATATATCGAAATCGTCCTGCGAAGTCGTCCCTCTGCTTGTAAAGTAATAAAAGAAGCTCACAGGAGGGATGCGAACAAATTCCGAAATACGGGACGAAGAAAAGATTTGTCCTTGAAGTTTCGCTGACTATTCCGCCGTCGGTGTATGCGCTCTTCTTCTTCAACGTTTTATAACGTCAAGTGTAGGCCGCAAAAGACTCTTACGATAATATCAAATCGAACAAGAGACAGGAATGCGGACGCAGCACACAAAGGTATCTGTAGAATTTTCGTCGGATCTCTGGTAGAAAATTGGGACGGTTTCCTTTGCTCCTACCTATATCCTTTCGCTGATGTATGCAAAGATCTTTTAGCATTTCAAACGTTTTGTCTTATATCACAGTTGCACAATTTTTAAGGTGACGTGAGTTTCTCTCATATTTATGCGTTAATCGCATTTTCTATTGCATAAAACTGTATTGTTATTTTGCATTTTGCAATAATTATTCTTTCATTTGCGTATTTATATTATTTTCGTTATTGATGATATTAAACGCGCGTGACAAATAATATTGTGTGCGGTTCAAAGAGAAAGATCTGAATGGGAATCACTAATGTTTATGTGCAAACCGCGCAAATTATAAGCCGATTAACTCGATCGCGAAGCTTGACAAATGCAAAGCCTGACGAATGTCACTTAGCTGAAAGTGCTGAGAATTTATGAGAGACAGGCGCGACATCGGATTCGCAAAATAGAAATCTATTCGTCATTGAGATCGATAGCATTTTGTATCCCACGTAACATTGAATAATGGCGACTGCGACATATCTTTCAGCGATTCTCGCAACTTATCAATGCACTTTTCCAAGGCCGAAGGACGAGCCTGATGCTATGAGTTTTCGCTCTTGGCTTCTCTTCCTATAGAATCCTTCCGTGTTCTGGATATTAATTCACCCAAAATCGATGCCACGGCAAGATTGAGAGGACATTTCGTCCATAAACGTAACTTTCATATAAGCGGAGAACGAATGGATTTCTGTCACGGAATCAGACGATTTTCAGTAATACAGGAAAATAATGAATAGTTTCCGAATACTTTCCTCATGCATTGTCGCTAAATTACGTGATCTCATATCGATTCCGAGATCGAGTCCGTTTGTTATCGGGGGAAATTGCGTAATATTATTACTCCCGAGTAAAAATGCACGTGGCAATTAATATCCGGGACATGTTGGATGCCGAAATTATTTGCGAATGTTGCAAACA